AGAGAGAGAGAGAGAGAGAGAGAGATCAGCTAATTCCCATGGGAATGGGATTGGGCCTGGTTGGAAAGGAGTGTTGAGAAGCAGTTCTAACAAACATAGCTACTTTTCTAAACCAAATATATAGAAAAATCATCTGAAAAAGGTTAATTCTTATTAAGTATTTGTTGATCTTCGTAATTGCCAACATGTACACTCAAACATTCTCTGGAAGCAAAGAAAGTCACAGATTATCTCACCATTAAAATTTTCACTATATGCATTGTTATACATTGACTCCCAATTTATATGCTATGCATATGTATGTTGTAAGTGGTCCAGATCGTACCAAAAATACGCATTGTAATCTAGGGCTTTTTTGCTTGATATTATTTTTATTTGTGGAAGTAGGCATATGAGTACTTGTAAAGATATAAAAATTGGATCACATTTTCCCACACATTGAGCAAATTGTACTTTTAAGAATGAGACAATCAGATGCAATCAAAATGGCCCTGGAAATATAGAGTATCTCATCTCCATAAGCTGGCTGAGTGTAATGACAGATGGAAAGAGCCTCAAGTCTTCCTACCACTGTCAAAATTTGAGGTGGGTCCTGGCAGGGTCCAAAGAGGAGAATGTGGTCAAGGGTGGATGCTTAGCACAGGAGACACATGCCCTTTGTAGCATCCAGCTCATGAGGGGTGAGGGGAGGGAATCAATGATCATTTCTGCATGCTAGTTTCCCATGAGAGATTATGAGTCTAAATTGCAAGGATACACTGGTTTACCTTTATTATCTCTGAGGATCTGTTAACATTTCCTTACCACAAGTGATTCTTTATTACAAAGTAGAGAGACATCCTTCAAAAGTCTCATGATATTTTCTGATTATTCTTTGTATTTGTTTGTATTCTTTGTATTTGTATTTACATGAAATGTTTTTGAATTTTCAATAACAATACATCTTTCTTTTGTTTGTTTGTTTTTTGGTTTTTTTTTTTGTTTGTTTGTTTTTGTTTTTGGTGGTACTGGGCATTGAACCCAGGGCCTTGTGAATGCTAGGCAAGCACTCTCCCAACTGAGCTATATCCCTAGCCCTGTTTTTGAATTTTCAACATTTCCTTATAAGTCTGCTAACCCAGAAATAAGCAACAGTTTTTCTTTTCCAGCTGGGGTTGTGCAAATGCTCTTATCCATGTGAAAAACAAACATGTTTTCCTCATAATTCAGGTCATTACTCCAGTATTTTCCATTCATATTCTTCTAAGTTACTGAGATTTGTATGTGTTTGGGGCTGCTCTTCCACAGGATACATTTATTCCTTGTGGGTGACCTCTTCATGCAGGTCTCCCTCTGCTGGTCCAGCTGCCAGGTTGGTAAAGTTAAGTAGATTGGTATGGGCTCCGACCTGAGGGATGCATCTTTGATGGTAAGGTCCCCACTTAGGTATTGCCTCTGTGTTCTGAGATCTCCTCCCCTCCTTATGTGTGGGTTATGAGATGCCTGTCTGGAGAGTGTATCTCTGGGGCTAGCTGTAAATGAGGGGAGAACCTGGAGGGACACTGGATGCATGGAGGTTTTCCGACCAGGGCAGATTCTTGGGGTGACCTGGTGTCAATTTGCTCTCCTGTGGTCTTGCTTCTTCTCCATGTTTTAGTTCTCTTTGGGCTCTACTGTGATAAAGTGGATTGGAATTCGCAACATTGTTCTGTGTGAAGCATCAGCAGTCATTCTGGTGATGACTGGGTAGTTTTCAGTGGAAGTGATATCCCTGGGACACTCAGGGTCACTGTGCTCTCCTTATTCCTCTTGAAAGTTGTGGCAGTAAGTAAATACTATGTATACAATAAAATTCCAAAGGAGGAGATTAAAACAGCCTTGTAGGAGAAGCTACTTTGTAGTCACTAAGGACCTTCATATTCTCCTTTGCCACCTACCTACCACCTACTCAGAAGCAAGGCCACTTCCTCACTCTAACTCTGCCTATCCTATTATTCCTCTAATCATCTATTAGTGATTTTATTTCTGGATCTCTTTACCTTGCTGTAGCTTGGTTGTGTGTGCTCCTCTTCCTGTTGATACATGTTGTCTAAACTATTCCTCTAGGATATGCACACATTCTGTTTATATCTATTTATTTACTATTTTTATTAGACTTCCATAAAAACTCCAGCAGAAGACATTCTACTATGCCTTTGTCATCTCAATTTGAGCCATTCATTTTACCTTTCAAGATTGCTTTTCAAGGCTTTTATAATTAGAATATGTCTGTGTCAAGAGAATTTGTAAAATCTAATCTGAAAATACTCTTGTGTGAGAGGTTCCTTTAGAACCCTGGGGGATGGCAGTGGCTTTTCAGTCACCTATGTAGATACCAGGTGATTTCAGACTGCTATGTTATGAATATGTGTCCTCAATTCATTTGTTGAATCTTAACCCCCAATGAAACAGAATTAAATAATAATGCACTTTTAGAGGTGATTAGGTCATAACAGTTCATCCCTCATGCACGGATTAGTGCTCTAATGAAAGGGCCAAAGGGAAATATGTAGGTACCCTTTTGTTTCATTATTCCTTCCACCAATTTTTTTTTACTTTATAATTTTTTTTGTTTCAATTAGTTTTACATTATATTGGGATGCATTTATGCACTTTGATATAGCATACATATGGGTTATAATTTCTCAGACTGTACATGTTGTAGAATCACATTGGTCATGCAGTCATATGTGTACATAAGGTAATAATGTCTGTTTCATTCTACTATCCTTCCTATCCCAATATCTCCTCCCCTCCCTTAACTCTCCTCTACCTAATCTAAAGTAACTCTGTTCTTCCTTAGACACCCACCCCTTATTGTGAATTAGCATCTGCATATCAGAGAAAACATTTGGCCTTTGGTTTTTTTGGATTGGCTTATTTCACTTAGCATGATATTCTCCAACTTTGTCCCTTTACCAACAAAAGCCATAATTTCATTCTTCTTTAAGGCTGAGTAATATTCCATTGTGTATATTTACCACATTTCTTTATCCATTCATCTGTTGAAGGGCCCTAGGTTGGTTCTATAGTTTAGCTATTATGAAGTGAGTTGTTATAAACATTGACATGGCCGAGTCACTGTAATATGTTGATTTTCAATTTTGAGGACAGTGTTATTCCCTCTGGTGGAGCAATGTCTAAAGTACTATCTTGGAAATAGACAGTAGCCTTTACTAGACACCAATCCTGAAGGCACCTCCATGTTGAACTTTCCAGCTTTTAGAACTGCAAGAAATAATTTTCTGTTATTTATAAATTACCCATCCCTAGGTATTTTGTTTTAACAGAATAAGTAGACTAGTAACAGGGTCAAATATATTCAAGTTGGAAACTGCATTAGGATTCTTGCAAAGTTGATATAAGTTTAAGTTAACAACTGGTAACAGGTTTCTATGATTTGGATATTAAATGGTTCCCAAAGGCACAGGTTTTAAAAGATTTGGTCACTAACCTGTAGTGCTACTGGGAGTTGGTAGAACTTTTAGAAGGTGGATTCTATTGGAAGGACATTAGGTCAAAACAGGGGCTTGTTCTTGAAAGATACATTGGAATTCTGGAAGGACATTAGGTCAAAACAGGGGCTTGTTCTTGAAAGATACATTGGAATTCTGATGCCTTTCTGTCTCATATTTTCTGCTTCCAGTCACCATGAGGTGAGCAGCTTTGTTTCACCACACACTTCATGATGTACTTCCTTGCTACAGGTCCAAAAGTAATAATATCTAGGGACCCATGGGCTGAAACCTTTGAAACCATGAGTCAAATAAAATACTTCTTCTTTTAAACTGATTATTCTTAGGTATTTGTTACAGTGATGAAAAGCTGACTGACAGGTCAAACCAGCTCTTTCTTACTAGAGCAAACCAAACCTCAAAGATGACATGTGGCTTGCCCAAGGATACAAACATAGTTAATAACAATGGGAAAGTATGAGAACACTGCTCTTTTGATTTCCAGGCAAATGTTGCTGCTAACAAATTCCTCTGAAAGAAGACTGGCTCTTATTTCAACCTCTAAACATATACTCAGTGTGGGGGAATTGAATAGTTATGGTTATTCTCTCCAAGAGCATATTACTCTATGCTCACTCAGAAAATTCAAATATATGAATGAATCTGTTCAATGTCCTAAAACCATTGACATCCATTGTGGGGAGGCATCTATTAAATCCTACTCCTGAACCTAGGAGAGTGGAATCCCAATCTTGACATTTAGAGCGAAGGTGCATGAATCTCCAAGGGAGATTAACACAGCATCAAATGTTTTCACTAAAAAATAGTAATAATCTTGGTATTGGTCATGGGCTCTGGAGTTAGCAGCTTTCCTGGAGATTGTGGTCTTGGATTCTGTTTTTGTCAAATGAAGGAAAATCATCCTGGGCTATGAACTTCCTGAGGATACAAATTGTTGTACATTTGTTTCTCATAGCACAGAATACCTAGCACAGTAATACATTTAAATGTACACTTCATGTACATTCCTGTGCATGAAGTGCCTATAATGGATAATCAGGTGAACTGAGTAGCAACTTTGAGAGAGTTCATGAACAGAATGATGCTCTCTTTTCCTATATTCTCTGTATGGGAGCACTGTGCTATCAGCTGGTTTTAAAGTGGAGGATAGCAAAGAGATATAAATGTTAAGGCTTTCCATAAAGACCTTTTTACTTTATTTGCATTATTATTTAGTGTTAATACACGAAGATTATTATTCCCATTTTTATTTAACAGATGGCACAACGTAAGGCTCAGAGAGTTTAAGTCTTGTACCTGAAGTCATACAGCCAGGAAATACTTAGGTTCAGGTCTGTCTGAGCCTGAAGCCCTTGCTTATGCTTCCTCTGCTCTATACTCAGGGATAATATCCCTCTCTCCACTTTATTCCCAGGGATCAGATTCTGAAAGGTTCCTGAGGGATTCATGCCGGAGACTTGGGAGACTTGTCGTTCCTGAAAACCCCTACCCCCACCTTGATTAATCTTTTTTTTTTTTTTTCTGTAGAGAGTGGGCCTGGAACCAGGTGAAGCCCGAGTCTCCATTCCAGGGGCTTTCTCTAAAATCTGTCGCTGTTGTTGACTCCAGTAGAATCTGTTTCAGGAAGAGGTTTGTCTGCCTGCGCGGGACAGCGGTGCCATTCATCACTGCAGGAGGACAGAATCCGGGGCTGGGGGCCGCACGTCGAGAGGGGAGGGGCCAGGGGGCGGCCCCCTTGTGACCAGCCCTGAGGAGAGGTCAGGAGAGAAGGCTGGCTGAGGAGCGCCTGGACAGCAGCAGCTGCTGACGTTCTATATCACGCGCCTTGGGCCCAAGGTAACGCAGACCTTTATACAAACGCCTGGGCTGGGGGCGTTGCAGGGGGCCAAGGTGGGAGAAGGGGGCAGCGGGCAGGGACTTCAGGGATCGCGCACTGTGGCTGGAGGTAGTCATGGGGGTGGCGACGCGTGGAGGGAGTAAGAAAAAATATGAATTCAAAGAGAAATCCTAAAAAATGAGGGGGCAAAAGCCAGAAAAGGGGTGTGAGAGCACAAGCGCAAAAGAGCATGAGAGGGCGCAAGAGCTTGTCGTACTGAAAGTGCACTTGGGGGTTCGGCCACAGGATAGAACATACCCGGACCTAGAAGCAGAGGTAAAATAGGAACAGGGGAACACTTTCTCGAGTCCATTTTTCAAAGGTGGCCTCCTTTCAGCCATATTTAAGATAAAATGTTGACCCAAGTGTTTTTAGGATATAAGGAAAGAACGTCAGAGGAAGCTGTACCAAAGCGAGGCTGGAAAGGCAGTCAGAGGGTGGCGCCTTTTTTAAAGAAGTTTCCATCCTTTCTGTCCTAATGCTCAGGCTGTTCCCTGCTCTCTACATTTTATTCCTCATCTTTCCTCCCCACCGCCTCAATACCCGCATGATCAGATCTCCTTTAAACCAGGTAGCCGGCCTGGGTCTGCACACCAGCTCCCGGAGCCTCTCGGTTGAGGGGGTGGAGCTCACAGCAGCCGCTGGCTGAGCTCTAAGGGCCAGTGGGAGGGGTCCCGAGAGCGCTAACGGCGCACCGCGGCCATGACGCTGGGCATATCATTCACAGAAGTTCCTGTCTCATTCCATCTACAGTCGCGGCTCCTTTCCAGACGCGTTTCTTCTCAAGCTCGGCAGTGAGCTGATGGCCCAGTTTCGAGAAGCTTCCCTGTCCTCCAGCTCCGTGGCCCGTTGGACCTCTGGAGGTGGAGGAGGAGCCTCTCAGGAGCAGGGAGTCGAGAAGGCGGGGAAAATGGAGGCGGAGGCCCTGGGGGCGGCGATGGTTTACGCGGTCCAGGAAGCAGAGGAGATGAAGCTGGAGCCCTGGCAGGAACGCAAGCCTGCACCCGAGGGGAACTTGACGTGGAGCGACATTGGCGGCGACGAGAAGGTGCTCCCTTCAAACCCCCCTTGCTGTCACAGCAGCTCCTCGCCCGTTTGTCCGCGCCGCAAGCCCCGCCCTCGGCCCCAGCCCGGGTCCCGCTCCCGAGGCCGGCACGGGCTCTTGGCCCCACCCCCACCACCGCCTCCACTACCCCCGTCACGTCCCCCGACCTGGCGCAGATCCCGGCGTAGGTCCAGGCCTGGGTCCAGGCCTCAGACGCGGAGAAGCTGCTCTGGTGACCTAGGCGGTTCTGGGGATCAAGGTGGCTTAGGGGACTGGTTACTGGAGGTTGACTTTGATCATGGTCCTACAGGCTGCTCTCATGTGGAGAGCTTTAAAGTAGCTAAGAACTGGCAGAAGAATCTGAGGATGATCTACCAGCGTTTTGTTTGGAGTGGAACCCCAGAGACTAGGAAACGTAAGGCAAAATCATGCATTTGTCATGTATGTAGTACTCATATGAACAGACTCCACTCTTGTCTCTCCTGTGTCTTCTTTGGCTGCTTTACTGAGAAACATATTCATAAACATGCAGAAACAAAACAGCACAATTTAGCTGTAGACCTCTATCATGGAGTTATATATTGCTTTATGTGTAAGGATTATGTATATGACAAAGATATAGAACAGATTGCCAAAGAAACAAAAGAGAAAATTTTGAAATTATTAACTTCCACCTCAACAGACATTTCTTATCAACAGTTTATGTCATCCGGGGTTGGAGAGAAACAGTCAACCTCTGAGTCAAAGGAAGAGGAACCAAAATTGGTGAAACCCAAGAAAAAGAGAAGGAAAAAGTCAGTGTATACTGTAGGCCTGAGAGGGCTAATCAATCTTGGAAACACCTGTTTTATGAATTGTATTGTTCAGGCACTTACTCATATTCCTCTCCTGAAAGATTTCTTCCTCTCTGACAAGCACAAATGTATAATGACAAGCCCTAGCTTGTGTTTGGTCTGTGAAATGTCTTCTCTTTTTCATGCTATGTATTCTGGGAGCCGGACTCCTCATATTCCTTATAAATTACTGCACCTAATATGGATTCATGCAGAACATTTAGCAGGGTACAGGCAGCAGGATGCCCATGAGTTTCTTATTGCAATATTAGATGTGCTACATAGACACAGCAAAGATGATAGTGTTGAGCAGGAGGCCAGTAACCCCAACTGCTGTAATTGTATCATAGACCAAATCTTTACAGGTGGTTTGCAGTCAGATGTCACATGTCAAACCTGCCATAGTGTCTCCACCACCATAGATCCATGCTGGGACATCAGTTTGGACTTGCCTGGCTCTTGTGCCACATTTAGTTCCCAGAGCCCAGAGAGGGCTGACAGCACAGTGAGCAGGGATGACCGCATACCAGGAATCCCCTCACTAACAGACTGCTTACAGTGGTTTACAAGGCCAGAGCACCTAGGAAGCAGTGCCAAAATCAAGTGCAGTAGTTGCCAAAGTTACCAGGAATCTACCAAACAGCTCACAATGAAGAAATTACCCATTGTAGCCTGTTTTCATCTCAAACGGTTTGAACACGTAGGCAAACAGAGGCGAAAGATTAATACTTTTATCTCTTTTCCATTGGAGCTGGACATGACTCCTTTTTTGGCCTCTACTAAAGAGAGCAGAATGAAAGAAGGCCAGCCATCATCAACAGATTGTGTGCCCAATGAGAATAAGTATTCCTTGTTTGCAGTGATTAATCACCATGGAACTTTGGAAAGTGGCCACTATACCAGCTTTATCCGTCAACAAAAGGACCAGTGGTTCAGTTGTGATGATGCCATCATCACCAAGGCTACCATTGAGGACCTACTCTACAGTGAAGGGTATTTGCTGTTCTATCACAAACAGGGTCTAGAGAAAGACTAATCTTACCAGACTAGAAAAAAAGAAACGATTAGGTAAGGATCCTGAAGTGACACACAAATCTACCTGGAATGGACAATGACAACAATACCCTTAAAACAACAAGCACCTCGTGAAGTAACACAAAAACCTACCTGGAACGGACAGTGACAATAACACCTATATGACAACTAGCACTTTGATATAAAGGACCTACTTTAATAGGGACCATGAGTCTGTAGGAGGAAAAAAAATGAATACTAACCAGTGGTCATTCAGCCTTAGAAATGGGAGGGAGAAGGGGTTGAAAATGGTCACATAAAGCATAATTAAATGAAAAGAGTGTTCAAGATGAGGAAAGGTGGGAATAGAGGTGTTCTGACACTACTTATGCCATTTATTTCTACAAAAATATTGTGGGAAGTCCTTAAATATTCCTTTATTAGGAAAAAGTTTCACAATTGGTGTTCCAGCTGTGGGCAATCAGCCAAATAGTTTCGAGAAAAAGAGTATTTTAAAAGAAAAATTTAAAAGCTTTAAAAGAAAACATTTAGAGAGAAAAAAATTTTTAAAGTTTCAAAAGAATATTTTAAATGTTAAAAATGTCTTAAGTTAAATATTTTTAAAAGAAATATTTTGAAATATTTTTTTAATTTAAAAATGATTGAAAATTATTAAAATGTTTAGAAACAGAATATTTAGAAATCTTAAATTTTAAGAAAGGTAAAATGAGTTAAAACAAGGTTAAAAAAGTTTACAGAAAAATTAAAGAAATACTTTTAATTTAAAAAGTTATAGAAAGAAAACATTTAAAATCAGAAGTTAAAGTGAAAAATAGATTTTTAAAAATTAAAGCATGAAATATATTGAAAAATTAAGTTTACAGAAGTATGATAATTATAAATTTTTCATAATATGAAGAATGGAATGAAAATTCAAGTAAAGTTTAGATAAGTGTTTTAAAAGAAGAAAGTTAAGAACAATTCAAGACAAAGATGAGATTTGCTTAAAACTTTTCGAAAACAAAAATTAGAGAAAAACAATTTTAAATTATAGAAGAACCTTAAATAAGTTCAATTTGAGAGAGCTAAACAAAAATTTAAACATTTAAGGATAAAAAGAAAAAACTAAAACTTTTAAAAAGAAAAGCACTCATGTAAAAATTGACAATTGAAAATTTTAAGATATTCAAATAGAAAAAAATTTAAAAGTTTTATTTTTATTTAAGTATATCAAAATACAGTATAGAATATTAAAAGACGGGTATAGAAGGAGTAAACACAGGAGATAGGAATAACAAGACAAAAGGGTTTGTGAATATATATATCTTTTGAATTATGTGTTAAAACGGAAGTAAAATTTGGGACAAATAGACACTTTAACCCTTATCTTAACATCTGTGAGATGGCTATGAGGCCTGAACAATAGCCCACCTTTCCCTCTCAGATTCCATGCCCCTTCTGATTTCCTGAAGGAAGTAGAGCTACTTAGGCAGAATCAACTGCATCTGAGAAAGATGAAAACATTAGGGGCTTTCCCATTTAGAACTGCATTATTCACACAAATTCTTGGCTTCTGAAAAGAGGCTTTTAGATAATCTGATGGTTTAGAAAACTTAGATCACAACTGTGAAGCTCTGTCTTTGGTGTTTGAGCCCCCATTGCCTGATTGAGGAAGTGGCAGGGACCCATGTCTGAGGACCTCCCACCCTCTCTGCTTTCTGTCTTTCTGCTCTTGGGGAAATAAGACCTTTAATTTCCACAGTAGAGCTATGGGTTTGTGCTTGGTGGTCCTTCTGTGCATTCCTTATTATTTCCCTTTTCTGTTCATTCATGCCTGATTCCCTGAACCCCTCATTTAACCTGGCCTTTACCTAGGTCTCTGAGCCTCAGCCTGCAAGGCTCCTTCCTTGACTATTCAAGACCCAACTCACAGATGACGTCTCTGGAACCTTCCCTGGATACTCTAGGCAGGCATAAATTGGATAACTGTCACCCATCCCTTACCCCTCTCACTGTGCCTCCAAAGTACTTTGTCCATACCTCGGTGATAGTACTTATTCTACTGTGATTCTACTGTAGCTTTGTGATTGTCTGCCCCTCTGCACCAGGTATCCATCCTGACAACAGAGGGCCAAGCCTTATTCATTTTCGTGTTAATAAATGTTTGTTGAATGTGGGAGAGAGTTCTATTATTTGCTCTATTCACCTTGTCAATACTGTATTTTCACTCATTCATTCATCCATTAAGGTTTCATCAAATGCACAGTGCTGTCATATGATATAATCAGTGCAGTATCTTCTCCAAACACGTGTGAGATGCTGCTCAACTGCAGAGAATGTCTTAGAAATTTCCTCCTGGGGTGTGGAGGAAGGCCCAGGTGCAATGCAAGGAAAAGAGCACAGTCATAATAGTTGGCAGTCATGGGAGACTGGGTGGGAGTGGGGAAAAATAGCTGAAGGTAAAGCTGAGCTCTCTGGTATATATGTGGCAATACTACCCCTCATCACAGAGTCCCTCAGACCCCCCCCCAATCTCTCACAACTATGTTCTAGACCTATCCTTCATAGGTATAGAACATAATTTGCCTTCCCTGTGACTGTACCTCACCTTTCCACAATGTTATCTATCACACTGAACATTATAACTGATACCGAGGAGTGATGTCTGGTGGCTTATATTTATGGGAGAGCTATAGTTCATTTATCACTTTTGATCTTCCTCCATTCTTGTGGATGGAGTGAGGCTATGAATCACTTTGCCCTGCCTCTGTCCTTGTACCCAGAGTGGACACATCTCAGGCAGAGACAGTTTAGAATTTCCAATTATCTGCACCACTGCCACAATAGTAATTCTTCTAAGGGTTGGCATAGGACCCAGGTAGGGCCAAGCTAAGTCTATTGCTAAATTGTTTATGGACACTAGAAGAAAAGAATGCATTTCTCCCACCCTATTATCTATGCAGTATATCTAGGTTAGGGTGACACGAATCAGAGTTCAAAATGCATACCATGAGGAGAAAAGAGAATCAGAGTTTTTCTCCCAGAGTCCAGAGAGTATCATTTGGACATTGTGGATTCAGCTGTGCCTGAAGCCCTCAAATTTCCAGATGAGTCAATAACATCATTCACTTTACTTAAGCTAATTTGAGTACGAATCCTGTCACTTGAAGTCAAGTGTTTTCAACATACTTACATATTTATATAGTTAGCTGGGGGCAACTCATTCCTAAAATCACAAAGGGTGGAAAATGGAGCGGATAGTGACCTCACATGAACTACATCATGTCATACTTAGAATCCAGAATGGCCTATACAAGTCTAAGAAGCAGGTGTCAGCTCAGCCATTGATCTATGTTATATCCTTTGTCCCATTTGTTAGTGTTCAAATAGTTCCTTTGACTTTCTGGTACACTTTGGGAATAAAAATTGTTACCTATCTGGAAGA